AGCTGGTAAAATTTTGAGCATACGCTCATTGCGATGATGATAATGTTGTTCTAACATTAGGTCTTCATTTGTTTATTTATTTATGATAGTTATTATTAGTCCATTAGCTGACTTCGAGCTACACAGAAAGGAGGAGGCACATCAAAGTGACAAAAGTCGATGGATGGGGAACAGAAGAGTGATTCACAGCTGTAAAAGAGGCAGACAGACAGACACGAAGGTAGAGAGTAGGGTAAAGTGAGTACTGTGGAAGTGGTGGAATATGACACAGTCAGTCGGGTCATGGTAGTTTGAAATCAGAAGTCAACTGCCGGTTAATAGACCTTTTTTGCCGTATGAGTATACGTTGTCCAGGCTACACCACTTGGGGGTAGGACTATTGCGCACCCCTAATCAGTCATCATAATAATCTAGAAAAATCAATGCTACCCAGTTCTAACTTCGCTACTCATTTATCATAGGACTCGTCTGCTGTTCCTTTTTATTTATAGCTACTAAGTTTAATAGTTTTGGCTTTTATGAAAGTGCTCAACAGTGTTGTATATATTTGAAGGTGGGTAGGGTTAAGTGGTAAAACTTACGTACTTATAAGGAATAAAGTGTTTATACTTTTGTTACTTTGGATATGTGCACTATCGATAGCTTGAAGTGGAAATGGAAATCTTGCCCATTTTTCTCCCCAAAATATTTTCCATTAAATCAGTCCGATTATAAATTTCTTTTTTTTCAAATCTTGAATTTAATGTCTGAGTATTCGAAGGAGTGGTGATGCCAGTGGGGCTGTGTTGGGAGTGAAGACGAGGTGTGTTGATGCAGGAGAGAGCTGGAAGAGGAGGTAGAAGAACTAGGTCTTGATGATTTTCCTTTTACATGTTTTTCCCTTTTAAATAATCTCAAATGTGTGTGGATGGGTAACATCCAAATCAGGCATTGGATTTATTTACATCTTCACATCGTACTCCCCACCCCCTCCAAGTACTCGCACATTTTCCATCCTAGAAGTACATCGCGTATTGCACTCTTACTGAATACTTCGTGTTCACATTGTTTTACGCTTTCAAATAGCCTAGGAATCAATGCAGCGTGATCTTAACGCATTCATCGGTTAGGTGATTGTATAAATGTTACATTTTAGTAAACGCATCAATCCCGTTTCTGATTTGGAAATGCGTCGAAGCAGCAGTTGTGGCTCAGAAATAGCTAAGTAAAACGCCTGGAGTGATGAGTAATCATTTCGACTTAATCTTAAGTTGACTGGCGAGGGGAACTCTAAAATTGTAATTAAGACTGATTTCGCCTGAAAAGGTTATCTCAGTGGAATTGGGATGCGGTTAGGCAACATGTGTACAATTACTACGCTTTAATTAAATGGGAACGTGTTTAATCTAAAAAAGGTAATTCAGATATTAGATTGCACAATGTTGCTTTTGTGTTATTTTTTTTAATATTTCCTTCTTGGATGTCACTTGGACTTTTATGGGACGAAATTTGGAATTTGATAGATGCAAACAATCTGAGATGTGGGTTCCAACCACATCGCACCTTTTTTCAAATACTTATTAACAATGGAGATGGTTGAAGATACGAACCACTCTTTCGGTAATGCCTCTAATATAATTAGTGTTATCAGCCTTTTCCTTTGGCACTCACTACGACTTCCACGCTCTCATTAACTGGGATGAGTCAGCCTACCTCAAGATCAATAAATGGATTAACTGCTAGCATCGCTTTTCCTTGTCTTTGTAGCGCGCCGGGAGGCCAGCGGCCTTTGTCGTCAGGTTCGGCTTCATCTTCTATTCATGACTTTTTTATTCGTTCATCACTTGAAGCGGCAGCTGCTGCAGCATCTTCTGGGACGACTACAGAGACACCAGTGACTCCATCGAACTCCTATTTCTGTCATCTACCTAGCCTCACCTCAATGGAGGAGTCCATTCGTCGTCCAGCTGCTCATCGCATATTCCGTGCTCTGATGGATAACAAGAAAATGAGAAGACTCATGCCAAAACTACTCTCCTCACTTTCTGATGACAGTTTGACGCCTTTCATGCTGGCTGTCCAATGCAAAGCTTACCAAGTTGCGCAGTACATTCTCGACTTCCTAATTGTAAGCCTCCTTTTTTTTAGAATCAGTGGTTGCCTTCGTGGATTTCAATGCTCTCTAAGCTTTCTGTTTTGCTTGCATTAACTCATTCTAAAGGGGTCTTATTCATGTGGAGATACTTATAAATTTTTTTTTACTAATTCTAATTCAGCGACTAGTCTTAATATTTTCAAAACTAAATTTTGATCTAATTTGTTTCATTGAACTTGATTTAAGCGATGGTTGAGTTCTTGTTTGCAAGATCAGAGAATTTGGTCCAATATTCATCATTGCGCCTGTCTGATTATTTATTTATATCAAATGGTAGGCGTTTTGATCGTTATCATTAGCCCTTTAGCTGACTTCGGACTTCACAGTGAGGAGGAGGAGGAACATCAAAGGGACAAAAAGTCGAGAGGGGGGGGATAGAAGAGTGATTCAAAGATGTAAATGAGACAGACAGACACAAAGGCATAGAAAAGGTAAGATGAGTACTGTGGAAGTAGTCGAATATGACACACAGTGGGGTCATGGTAGTTTGAAGTGAGAAGTAAACCGCCGGTTTATAGACTTTTTGCCGTATGAGTATACGTTGCCCGGGGTACACCACGTGGAGGTAAGTCTATTGCACACCCCGCTTGCCTGATTACTAAGTTTGGTTAATGGACGTAATGGCAGAATTCAAGTTTATACCAAAGAGGCTCAATGATTCTAACCCTAATTTATTTTAAAACATTTTCTTTAGAATTATTTTGATGATTAAAATCTCTCAATTATTTTGTTCAAAAATTAAGATTTCGTGATATATGATGCTTTCAACGTGACACCAACTTCAAAATTGTAAGGCCTGTTGTAGCTGTACTTTAGATGTAAATTGTTTTTTATTTTCATCTCTTGACAGCTTCCGAAGGATTACCAAGGCCTATGACTATTTGAAGTATGGCCTTCCACGTAAAATGCATAGAACTGAGAATCTTTTCCACTCTTTTCAAGTTGATTCTTGCTCAGCTCTCACCCTTATAACTTCCTAAGGTGTTCACCACTCAATCAGGTGGGTAGAAGAGGTCACTGGCTGAAAGGTTATAACAGCTGTAGATCTCAGAGGTTTGGGTGAGCGGGATGTTTTGCCGTGGTATATGGATTTACTTTGAACATTTTTGTACTCTGTGTGGTGGAAAATGCACAAATTGGGTCAGTTGATCAGGTGAACTTCTTCTGTATTTGAATTGACCTTATTAAGTTGAGGTTTCTTGACCCGGGGATCTTGAATGGTACATTTTGTCTTTAACTTACTCATTATTGCGAACATGCTGTTGAGGGGAAGAAATTTCCTGAAATAATAATGTATAAAATATTGGATTTTTAAATTGTAATTAACGGGGTGATTGCGTTCTGTCCCCTTTTCCTGTGGCATTTACCCTCCGGGGCTTATGGCTTTGATGTTTTTTTTGAAGCTTTGAGAATTGCGTACAAAAGACTTCAAAGACCTGAGGGAATGTCTTAAATATATCACGTCATAGTGCAACGTACTACTTACAATATTTTATTCGAATGAGATGTATTTGACTACAATGAACTCTCTCAATTAAACTTTTTATAAAACCGGATGTTATCTTTCTGAGTATCATGGTTCCGATTCTGCTCATACCTTAACTTCTACACCTAAGCTGGGGTTTTAGCTTCTGTAAGCATTATTTTGATTAGTCATCTGATAGTTCATAAGCTTTTCACCACATAGAATTGGTAGGAAATTAAATCTCATTACTTTGTAGGACATGGAAGGAATTTGTTCGGACGGTAGTGAGGAATCCAAGTACCAATTCCGTTACGCGCGTCTTATGCGTTACCTGTATCCCTCCTCCGCCCGTTTGGACGACTCACCCCTCTTCAATCTCGCCTACAATGATACCTGCAGTTTTACCTGGACTGGACCTAAACACATCCGTCAGGACATCTTCGAATGTCGCACTTGTGGCCTTATGGACTCTCTGTGCTGTTGTTCAGAATGCGCCCGAGTGTGCCACAAGGGCCACGATTGTCGACTCAAACGGACCTCTCCTACAGCTTATTGTGACTGCTGGGAGAAGTGTCGTTGTAGAAGTCTCATCTCTGGCCACCAAGACATCCGCAAAGATCTCTTTAAACGCCTACTTGATTACACCGATATGGTCTACTTACCAAATCGTTTGAACGATCACTTATTGGTCTACCTTGCGCGTCGAGTTGTGAGACAATGGAAAGAGCAGAAACAATTTAAGTCTATGAGAAGGCATGGTGGTGGTGGAGGTGAAAGAAATCGAAGTGGTGCTGGTGGTGGTAACTCTCCCAACTTGGAAGAACCGGAACATGATTTGGACCCGCCTGTCTTCTCTCGCCAGGCCCTTGAAATCGCCCTCGATTCAAAAGCTGCCGTCGCTAGTCTTCTGTGTGATTGTAAGCCAGACTTTTTATCCTACTCACGTGGGAGATGTGAGGACAAGAAGAACAAATCTGCGGATAGTGTACGTTAATTGTAAAATTTTATTATGCCGCTTTTATTTGTTGTGGACTATAAGCTTTACTCACTTGGGGGAATTGTGCTTGCCTCTGAACTCAGTTTAAAACGTGGAATTTTGGGGGGAGGGGGGTGGAGTACGTAAAAGTATGAATCGATAGTCGATCCTCAAATGGGCTTTTGAGTACGAAGGTAAAACACGCTTGGATAGGTCTAACTAGCTTATTAGGGCGATCAGGGTTATAAAGTAAGCCATTCCTCAAGACATTATGTTACTCCTTTTTTATTAAGGATTTGCACATTTGCCATTCGTAGATTCTTCTAATTGATAGGTGTTTTAACGCTCCCTTTTATATGAAGTGCTTAACGTCTCTTGGGCATTTTTTAAAATACCTCAAAAAGCATCCACTTGCTTTTCCAGAATCGGTGAGTTAGCTGTGCACCTCTAACTACCACTTTGCTTTTCATCAAGACGTAACGATCGCCGTTTACGCCAGAGGTCGCCTGTTCACTTCCAATGAAAGAAATCGAGCTTACTGGTAGATCTTACTCAGAGCATTAGCATCAACTCTAGAATACCTCTTAAAATGTTTTTTTTTGTAATCTGCCACCAGAATCGCCTTATTCCTCTTTAAAATTCCCTTCATTGTTCCTAACTTGAATCTTGTTATCTCTCTCTCCCTCTCGTCATTGATAGCCCTGCTTTCAAGCCATTCAATCAGGCTCAGCCATACTGGATGAGTTTGTCTTTCTTCTCATCTGCAAATATCCCGCAGAATTCGTCCAACGTTTGGTCAACACCCTGGCTCGCTCCCTGAGTGAACATTTGAATGGCGATTGCGGCGTGCGTCAGCTCATGGCCCTGACTTTTTCTGCCGCTCCACCACCTAATGCCTCAAACAATGCGTTTTATTACTGCCAAAAAGGAATCGCGAGGTTTGTGCGCTCTGTGGCCCGAATCTACACTGGTCTCATGCTTTCACTTGCACCTGATCACAACAAAAAGAAGTCGTAAGTCAACTTTCCATTGCTTTTGTTTCTATTGTGCTTTCAGTCCATAACTCCTCTTGAAAATATAATATCCTTTCTCAAGCAAGAATCTATAGTTGCGTTGGTCAAATATGTATTTAATGAAATTAGTGGAATGTGATTGGCGCGAAATAAGATTAAGGTTTTTTACTGCTAACCTGGTTGCTCACTGCACTGAGCCACTGGCTAAATAAACTTGCAAGGGTTAAACCCTCAACGGCCTTTTTCTGCCAAATTTTCTATTCTATTGTATTCCAGACTTAAAAAACTTGATTTATAGGAAGGGCTAGGTCTTAGGAGTTTGTTTTTCAAAGCTTCAGTTCACAAAAAGAATAGTTTCTTGTGTGCCTGCCTTGCGTTCTAGATTTAGTATATAGTCGAACCTTTCAAGGTTCCGTAAAAAAAGCATTAGGTGGAGGTGTTGGGAATTTTGAAATGCATTAGCATCGAGTGTTCATTGCACTGTTTAGTACAGACGAAGATTCGATGAGTATTTTGGGGTTTTATCATCTTTTGACAATGTGATAAACAATACTACGAGTCATTGCGTGGAGAATAAAGTTTTGCCATGTAAGGAAGATGACTAAAAATTGACAGGAAAGATTACAAAATTTGATTTTAGGCGAATTAATGGAAATCAAGCAAACACTTTGGAGCTGATTCGCTCAATCTTCTCCCAACTGGCTCCGGTAGCTCTACCAGAATTGGCTTTTCTCGCAGCTAAGATTATTTCTCCTGTTCGGACTGGGGCTCTTCTTTCCTCCAGGCCATTTGAACTCTCCTCTCAACTCCAAGATGCCATTCACGTATGTTACAAATAATCTGAGCTTCAATTCTTTCCACTATGTTTATTGAAATTTTACTAATATCCGATTCTATCTGAATGTTTGTGAGTATTTTTAATAGACCTGTCAGGTAAAACGCTAAATTTGTACATCCTTTTTCTTTTAATTTGCTTTTTCGTAACTCCTTTAACCGCTTACCAATCCAATGTTTCAATGTCCCGCAGTCTTTCGAGCAACTCATCTCATCAGAGAAGTCGGGGAACAATTCGCGTTCTCGCCAGGCCCAATCCAATGTGCCCTTCTACCATAGTAGCGGACACGGGCCAGATTGCCCCAATATCGTGATTCGTCATCTAATCTACGGTTTTGATGGTTCAGATGGTGCGTGCTCATCTACTCTACCCACTTGGATCAACATCCAGCGTCAACTGGCTCCAGTACCTTGCACATCTGAGCAGAAGACTGAACAAGCTATGGTGGGTCCTTGCTTTGATTCAGAACTATATTAATCACGTTATATTTATTTATTTATTTGTGTCATTGGCTTTGCCTATCGCAAATTTTAGCAGAAATTCACAAGTTTTATTCTCGGGAAGTTGTCTGAACAGCCCGGAAATGATAAGATAGTTAAGTGAAATAATCGAGAAGTCTGATCATTGGGTTCACTAAACTATTTTGTTTCCGAATGTATTAACTTACACGACTTTCCATGTTCTCTACTTAGTTCTCTTCTGTAATATTTAAATTTCATGTTGGCTACAGTTCCCTGGACGATTTTACTTCCACCATATTCAGTGTCTGTCTATTTTAGTCAGTCCTGGAATCAAGAACATGCAAATCAGCTTAGATCTATAATCGTCTTTACAATTGTCTTTATAATTTAATAAGAAACATTTATTTATGTTTGCCTTTAAGGAAGTTGAAGAGCCACCATCTTTGGCAACCAGATCGAAGCGACGTCGCCTAGAGAGCAATAACAGTGACAGTCCTCAAACGAAGCATCGTCGTCGACACCACCGAAAACGCCATCGTCATGGGGATTCCAACGCCAGCGCAGGAGATTCTGGTCCCCCTGCTCCCCCTCCTTCCCAACCCCCCGTCATAGTTGTCGAACCGGTGACAACGGCAACAACAAACACGTCCAATGCATCAAATACCTTTGCAGAAATGGAACTCACCGTGCACGGAGATTCAGACACTGATGGGGATGTGAGGAGCAATGATTTAGATAGCAACGCTGCCACCACAGTAGTTGAACATCATCATCAACGTTTGGAGGAGGAATATTTCAGCGAGACTGCTTCAGAAGATGAGACCATATCACGCAGCCAATTTGAAGCCCCTGGCTCCCAGCACTCTTCAATCAGTAGTACAGCTGCTACAGCGGGAACAACTGGAAGTGTTATTTTGGACTCGCTCGATGCTTCAAGAAGGGAGCAGCAAAATGAGAGTACCGCAAACACGACTTTAGAAGAGGGAGAGAGTACCATGATAGTAACACCTTACTGTGGAAGCGATGAGGAGGAGGAGGATGAGATGATGACGGAGGAAGGCAATGCTAATAATCAAGGAATGCAAGGGTTGGCCGCTTCTATTCGAAGATCAATCTCCCGACGACAGGAACGTGAGGAACGGCGACGACAACAGCAGCGTCGTTTTGCCGGTATCCATGATGACGACGAGGTGGCTAACGAAGACACTGAGGAGGAAGATGATGATGAAAGCGACATGTCCGGTGAAGGAGGAGATGAGGAAATCAGTGTTGAATCCGGTGAGGATTCAGAAGACTCTGATGACTCTGAATCTGACTCGGAATCAGATGATTCTGACGAGGAAGAGGGTGATGTTGAAGGTGAAGATGAGAGCGTTTCTGAAACTGAGGAAGAGGATGAGGAAGAAGATATGGAGGAAGACGAGGTGGAAAGGGATCTTTCTGTCATGGACGATGATGAAAATGAGCAAGAGAACGAACATGATGATGAGGAAGCTTATTCTCAAGAGAGCGATTCAGTAAGTTCAAAGTTTCTTTAATATAATTAGCACAGCTGCTTTATGAGCTAAGCCCAATTAAACCTAGAATTCTAGTTACAAAGGCTAGCCGAATACAAATGTCTTTTTCAAACGAGATGACCAAGTGTTTAGTTGGATCCTTGGTGCTATTGGACTGTTATAGTATAATGAAAAAGTAATTGGAAGTGAAATCGGGAAATAGCGCTATTCCTCTGCTAGAGGAATGTGTCTTGTTGTAGTAATGTATTGCAGGAGGTATCCTTTGTTCATCGATGGGTAGCCCATTATTACCTGCAGATGCTTGAACCCCCCTTTGTGCTAGCTACAAAAAAATGCCTCATTTGCTGACAGTTCGTGTAAGTTTCCTAGTTTCAAAAGCGAGCACTCACTAATTGTAGAAATCACTGGTTCTCTTCCGATCGCGTGGAACGAGGTTAAAATTCGCATGTGTGTTGGGCAGGCTAATGTGACTAGTATGTGGCGGAATCACGATGATTACCTTTCACATGTGTCTGATCTGAGGTTTTCGAAATCACATTCATGCCTTTATACGGAATGCCTGGTCCCTATCTATTATATCTTCCGTGCACTAGCGGCTTTTAAAGGCTTTTAATAGGATTAGTTCAAAGCATTTTTTTGGAATCGACAATGCTAGATCAGAGTGTGTGGAAATGGTCTGAGAGGTTGGTAGATGTGTTGGTTAATACGAAAGAGTTATGATTGACAGACGCGACTTATTGTATTGGTGTCGCGGAACCTCATGATCTTACAATTACCCAGAAGGAGTATGTATATAGTCGAGGATAATCTAATCTACTCAGATTAATTACAGATGATTGATAAGTCAGGCTTAATTTGCTCATTGAGTTGATGTTGTCAAGTGTACAGTTCTCGTTAACTCCGTACGTGTTAAGCCGCATGCAAGTTCAAATGACTGACTCCATAGAATGCAATATTTGAAAAATTTGAGTGACAAGGCATGATAAAACTGAATATTACGTATTTGTGTCTTAGTGTCAAAGGTGGTAAGTGAATACGTTGAACAGACCATTTTCTAGGAATAGTCATACGTAGAACGTCTTTTGTCATATCGATATTTCCTTCCTTTTTAGAGTCCTCCACCATCGCCTTATGCGCCATGGACTCGTAGAAGAGCTGGTGGCGGCGGCGGCGGCAGTGGAGCTGGAGGACAAGCTGTCCAAGGTTCATCTTCAACGAATACTACTACTCAAGGAGGTGGAAATGGAAATGCAGGAGGAGCTGGAGAAGCCAACAATGCAAATGCTTCCCAAACTTCGACATCCACCACTGCTACAACTTCGGTTTCCCGTCCGATTTCATCATCGGGTTCTGTTATGGCTCGCCTCTACTCAGCGGCTCTTTCCTCCGCTTTTGACAGGCGTTAGTTTTCATTTTGTGCTTCCTCTAACTGCCTCTTCCTTTTAGTTGGCCTTAACGTGCTTGTTAAAATGCTATGGGATTGGTGATATGATTTCAGGGTATCTAACGTCCAAATGTCAGGATTTGAACCCTCTGAATTTCTCTTCGGTTTCTGTGTTTGCTTAGCCTTTCACTGAAAAGTTTGTGGCTGTTTAGGCCACTTTGGTGCTTTGTCTGTTCAATACGTGCGCTAGGTGCCGGTGTCAGCGGCAAGTGGGAATGGTTGGAGTTCTTTCATGTTAGACAGTGCTTATTCCTTTTTATTCATCCGAGAGTCATTGCGTCTTTTGCTAGTTATTTTGCACGCTAAATGCCTCATCTTGACATCATTTACTACTTGGGTCTTCCCTCCTGAATGCTCTGAATAAGTTCACACGGTTCTTTTTTCTTCTCTCTGTTGCTATCCCTTACTCTCTTTCATGCAACCGTTCCTCACTACTAGCGTTAGTAGTACAAATCCTCTGACCCTAAGGCTGAAACTAAGGAATGTGTTGATGAATGTATTATTTTTCTATACCAAATGATAGTTATCATTAGCCCTTTAGTTGGCTTTGGGCTTCACGGAAAGGAGGAGGAGGAACATCAAAGTCGAAAGGGGGAACAGTAGAGTGATTCGCAGATGCAAAGGAGACAGGCAGACAGACATACAGGTAGGGAAAAGGTGAGGTGAGTGCTGTAGAATTGGTCGAACGTGGCAATGAGTGGGGTCATGGTAGTTTGAAGTGAGAAGTCAACTGCCAGTTAATAGACT